CCCGAGACAAACTGTTGACCAAGTACCTTGCCAAGGCACGAAAAGAAATAGGAAGGTTCAAAAACTTTTGCATAGAGTGTGTGGGTCACGAGGAAAACCACGTCATCAATATCATGTTGAAACACATCAATATAGGAGGGGCTCCACAAAGACTCACTCGACCAATAGTCGAGGAACCAAAAACGGTAGAAGTATTTATTGAAGTCAAAGGAACAAAAGCTGGATGAATCCTTGCATTCTCTACTTTGAGAAAGGGAAGGTATCAGAAGAGGTTACAAACCCGAGATGCTTCAAAATCAAGGCCACGTAGTATCTGATGATAGAAGGAAAACTCTTTAGGCGACCAGTTATCTCAGTATACTTAAGGTGCTTGAGGGAAGACAAAGCTTTGGACGTTCTCAGAGAGGTGCACTCTGGAGAATGCAGGAGCCACTTCGGAGGGAAAGCATTAGCCTATCGAGTACATCGACAAGGCTACTTCTTGTCAACACTACTAAAGGAAGCCTAAGAATCTTTCCAGAAATGTGAGCAGTGTCGGAAATACACCCCCTACTTTGTTGGCTCTTGTTCAAAGTCGATGGCAGGCAAAAGGTTGGGGGATCCCCGCCCGTCCAAAGTGATTATCAGCAGAAGCCTCGCATATTCAGCCTGCAGACTAGCCTCTACCACAGCGGCGGACTCCGAGGCATCCTTCGACGGCCCACTGCCATGGAGGTCCTTTGACCTAACCAATTCTTCTGCATTAAAATAATATAAAAAATTGTTGAGAAACATAAATGGTCAAGGAAGGTTTTTAGTACTTCATGCCCATGAATCTATCTATAAAAGAAGGGACTTAAAAGACTTCTCTCCCTCTTGTGTTGATGTCCCGCCACCTTGTTCCAGCAGCAACTAAGGAGAGACAATGATCACTCCTCCTGCTTGCTCTTTTCTAATCACCTCGGCACCTTCAACAAGCAGGGGTTGTTGGCCCCCAACTCTTGCACCAATGCCAGACTCAGGGATCGTAGCCTCCTGAAGAGGTACGTTCGACATTTGCCCCTCGGGATCTCTAGATGAGTTGACATGATCAACTGATGAAGGTTCGTGCCTCGACCATTTCCCTTTTTAACCTTGTTCTTCTTTATAGAGAACGAGGGCCAGTAGCCTACCTGGGCCAAAATTTTGGGGTCCACGGTGATCTGGCTTGAACCATAAGCCATGATGCAAGTCGGTTATTTGGGAGAAAATGAAGGCATTAGATGTCATGATAAGCATATGGCTCTTTTTATAGAGCACGTTGATTATTGAAATAATTTTCTTGATTTTAGTCCAATTGATTATTAATTAGTTTTCACGTCGTTATCGTAGCTATCACTTTTAAAGAACAAAAAAACTTTGAGAACTAATATCTATACGCTATAATTGTCCACAAGAATCTCAAAGTGATCAAGCAACCCAGGATAGTGGCCGGATGATTGAGGTGTAAGACCAAAAGAGCATGATCCTAACCATTCATTCAACGACAACTGCCCAATCAGAGTCAACCGAAATAATATGACAAGGGATTCAATCGGCAGATCATGCCTGTAGCCCCGATCGTAGCTAGGCAACCGACATATTTTTTTACTTCTGCAGGTGCTACTGCCATCTTAGTTGTCGCCTCAGTCGACCGAACTAAAATAGGTCAATCTGTTAGTTACCTCCATATACAAATTCAAATTATAATACAAATTTGATATAAGGTCAACACAATTAATTGCATTAAGAATGTTTTTCGTAATCGTTCACTCTTTTTTGTAATTGTATAAATATGCATGTATAAATATGAGGCTAAAGTAAGAATAAAGTGACTCCTTTCCAAATTCCTCTACCGAGATTTGACTGATTACTCTCTCTCTGTTTCTTTATGCGCACTCTTAACTCTTGAGGTATGTTTACAAAAATAAACTTAGGATTTAAAAATATAATCAATTATCAAATAATAAAATCTGCCATCTATATTATCTTAAATTTGAATTAAAAAAAATTCATATTGAGATAAGTCATATAAATAAATAAGCTACTATTTTATTATCATGATCGAAATCAGTCTACGGGCCAACGCTCCTGGCTACAGTTTATAATATTAATTATTGTTAACTGATACATCGCTATTTAAAGTATAAATTTAATGTGAAATCTGTAAGATTAATCATCTTCTAATGACCGATGTCAGAGCTGCTTTTCCGTCAAACTTTTGCGTTTACACATAACTTACACGTTTTAATCACACCAAATTTTTTGCCTAGGATTTGATCAATATGTGATTATAATGATAAAATTCTATATTATTTTAAAAAAAACATAAAATAGAAAATTTAATTATAATAATTCAACACTAGTATATACATAAAATTGTTTTTGCATGGATATTATGTACTAACTCTTTTAAAGAATGAGAAATATTATAATTTATTTTCGGCCCTTCTATCATCTATAAATATAAAAATCTTTTCATGTAAATGGGGGGTTTTTTGGTTCACCCCACTTGTAACATCTATTTTTGTGGAATAAAATGGGTCTAAGAGCCAAGGAACACTCAATTTACCTTGATGGGCCAAGTTCTCCTCTCCCTCCTACTTTTTTTCCCTCTCTCAATCTCATTTTTTCGGTCTCAATGCTCTATCCATTGGGCATGGTTTACCAGACATGGTTAGGTCCAACATCTTGAAATGTGCGGTGAGTGTGGATCAAACCGATAATAAGAAGATGAGCAACACCGATAAAAAACCCTTCCACATGACACTCCAAGCAAAAAGCACATATGAGAACTTGCACTGCAGTAAATTTGGAAGCCTAAAAATTTCAATTCCATCATCCTCCGAAAGGCATTGGCTCGGAGGCGAAAACCACATCTAGAGATGAACAACTCATGATTGCTATTGCTTCTCATTTCTCCCCTCTAAGCCAAGAAATGCATCCTCAAATTTGCTTGCCTTATTGTTTATTTCACAGCACACTTCTAAAGTTGCTAATTGACCAATCATCTCGTCGGTCATTAATACGCATAACCGATCTGACCAAGATTTTGCTTCACAAGGTTTCTTGAAGGTTGGATGGGATTTGCGTCAGCAGCGTTGGAAGTTGTCGAATCCGACAAATGAAGCACATCAGGCAGAACAGTAGGAACATAATGAGGCACATTCGAATTGAATTTAGTAAAGAGCACATCCACCGGAAAATGCTATGCAATTGTCCTACAATCTGCTGTGTGACCTGCCTAATTTGACCGGCTATGCTCCACCAATCAGCCATCAACCGACTGCCTCCCTCAGGTTGAACACAAATAAAAATATTTAAATCAAGCTGAATACAAACACACCTTTTTAAAAATCAATCTCAGACACGAGTTAATTTCAAACAAAAATAATTTTAAACAGGCGAAAAAGGAGCCAAACCCGGTCGCACAATCTGGCCCTCTTTACAGCACTAATGAGAACTCTCGTATCCTAAAAGTTTTCTAGCACTAACCCTACTTATCTAAGGAGAGGGAAATTTTTTTAAAATAAGAAATAAAAATCTGGTTTGAAGAATCCGAGAATGGACTCACCAAAAGAAAACTACTAGACTCCACGAGCAATTCGGATTTGCCATCCACCCACTGATAAGACCCCAGCACACACAGTCTGGGGCCCACCAACGATTCGGATGGTGGTTCCTGGGTGAAATCCCACTTGGTTCGTAAAATATGGGCGGGTTACACGCGAGTTTCTGTGGGCGCTGGGAAATACAACATTAAAAACTGCGCACTCAGTAGGTCTCAGGAATATCGCTGTGCTACCGTGTGCCAGCAAGAGAAAATAATACGACGTGAGGTGTATCATGCTGTATATTCGATAAAAAATATTGAAATGTACGATATGCATGTTCATCAACACATCCGAACAACGGATTGTCATATTTTATCACCTGTTTATATATGTTAGGCTTCGCCCACCCTTTCTTCGAAACCACAGGAAAAGACGTGATGATTGCTAGCATGAGCGTAATAAACGATATATTCCGAGGCTATATTGGTAATTCAGCAACTTCCACCGACCGAACGGACCAGATATCTTTTCATTCACATTTCGTGACAGAAACTCTTTTCCTTCCTGAATATAAATAACATTTATATTAAAAAAATATTCATTAGAATAATGTTTATATGAGCTGAAATTTTTTAAAAAAATTAATAATTTATTAAAAAACAAATCACTACTGCTTTACGCCATCAGGCCCGTCACCACGCTGCCAAAATTAATTCCCGATTTTCTTTAATTAGGACTTAAATAATTCACAGATATTATTTTTCGGAAAGCTATTTTGACATTTTCACTCATGAAAAAAAATTAAAGTTAGATCAATAATAGCAGCAACTGTTAGATTTAAAAGCATAAAAAAGGACGGATTAATTATTAGATTGGAGCCCGTGACTCCATAATGATGAAATTTCATTGAGATATGCACGAGCCCAATTGTAAACCGGGCGATTAAATCGGACCGGAAGAAAAAAAAAACTCGGGTTCTTCAGCAACCGGTTCAATAAGATAAAGTATTAGTAAAGGGTGGGGTAACCAGAGAGGTTGGCTCACGCAATCCTCATGGCTGTGCACCGGCCCGCACGGCTTTCGAGAAGGCACGAGCCCATATTAAATTTAATCTTTATTTATTTTAATTAAATTGATTATCACAATGAGTCCTTTATTGAAAATAATAATAATAATAATAATAATTCATTTTAAATTTATGCTAAAGGCAGTCCTTCGAAACGCTGTAGGAGGAAAGAAAATTGGAAAGAACCTTTATTCGATCACACATCCCCTCCTGTTTCCCTTTGACCGACAAACCCTGCTCCGGCTAGTTGATCAAGAGCATCCGTCCATCCCAAATTTTTATTTCATAAATTTTCTAAATAATTACATATATGGCCACATTAAAGCTTTATTTTATTAATCTATATAAAAAAGAAATTTTTATATTTCTAAAAATTAAAGCGATAGAATATAATATGAAGTTATATTTACTAGCGAAGTCCTCAAATCTATCTCATTACAAGCCCTGACAAAATTAAAAAGAAAAAAGAGGCTAACTCGGAGATATTATATATGATTAATAATATATATCTCTCGTAATTCTCACACCAAAAATAATGAAGCGGAGAAAAGTTTAAAATAATAAAAATAAAAAAAGTTGGGGGGTAATATTCAAAAAATAGGAGAGGGGGGCTTTTCCCGGAGGACGGAGGCCAGGCCGGCGACGATCTTTGCGCCAGCCGCTGGAGGGGCAGCTTTAGGCTTTACGGCCGGCGGCTGCCACGGCGAAACCACAACTGTTATTTTATTCCCCTCATCTCCTTCGTCGCCGATGCTCCCGTTTCCCTGACGAATCTCGAACTCACCGGAAAAGTTCATTGCAGAGATCGGGCAAACTGCACGGCTGTCGGCGGCGACGTCTTTTCCGGCGACGTCTGCATCATCGACGGCGGCAGATGTGGTGCGTTGGTACGGGGAGAGCCACTTCGCGCGCATGTACTCTGCCTTGCGCCACGGGGGGAAGTGAAGGCCTTTCTTCTTCAGGCTCTGACGCGAAGCTTCTGAAACTACGGATACGATCTGCTGAAGCCGATTTTCCTTTCCAACGAAGATGGCAGGGAGCAACTGGAGCACCGTGCGATAGTTCTTGGTAGACCGAGCAATCTCAAACTCCGATCGAAAGTCAACGTCGATTATGTAGCGATCGCCGTCGATAATCACATCGACGTACTCGTATTCGCCTGTTCGAACCAAAAAAAAGCGAAAAAAATCGTCGGTGTATGTGCGCTTGTAGGTTTTGCTATCGATTTGTGCTAATAAAAGAAAAAAGGTCGACTGGAATACCAGCAGGAAAGGAAGGCGTTTTTTCCCAGCGAGATTTGCAGACGGAGGCATCGTAACCGAGGTCTCGAAGCCCTGAGGCGGCGATCTTCCGGCAATTGACTTTCACCTTACCGATCTTGCACTTCTCAACTATTTTCGATGCATCCGCGAGCAGATTTCTCTCCGCGATGCTCACGCACGGCACCAGGCTCTAGTAGAAACAGGAAGGCAAGCAGATGTATATATTTTAATTTCAGAACAGGTCAACAAACTTTTGGAAACAAAACGAAAAACAGTACACTGTTGAATGATCGATTAGTGCATCATAAACAATACAGATCGAAGTTAGTGAACTACCTTGAGGATCTCGACGCCATCGCCGGTACAACAGGCAGGGATCGGCGTTGAATCGCTTCCAAACTCATCATCGGTAACGTCTTCACAGTTTCCATTGAAACAGATACAGCGGCTAACGGC